AATTCTTATCTAATTGCAGACAAAATCTCTACATTCTTTTAAAAAATATCTGTTTATAATCCAATGATGAACCCGGTCAACCAAGAAGTAAGACCAGAAGCATCACTTATGATTCCCGAAAAACGAAAACGTGGGCGCCCACGAAAGGATCCGAGTGAAAGACGGGCAGCAAAAGCCCGTTCACAAGCTGCCCGAATGCAACCCGCTTTTGCCCAACATCACACCACCACCCCTCGACTCGATCCGATCCATGATCCAACCCAAGTCATGATCGGTCAAACCGTAACCGGTGTAGTTGAAGCCACTTTTGAAGCCGGTTACCTTCTTGCTGTCAGAATCGGTAACTCAAATATAACCCTAAGAGGTGCAGTCTTCAAGCCAGGTCACACCGCTCCTATAACACCCGATAATGACGTGGCGCCACATGTCGAAATGATCAAAAGAACCCAAGTTCCATTTCCAGAAATGCAACCTCCAATCCGCAGGCGAAAAAGACGATCAAAAGAAAAGAACATGCAGCTCGTTACTTATGTTCCCAACGGTTCCCCTGATCAAACAACACTCCCAAACTCACCTTCTAAAAATTACGTTTTTACCCCTGGTAGAGGAAATGTGACCCCGGTTGTTCTTCAACCAAACGGGCCATTACCGAATCAACCGCCACCTCATTTGCGGGCCACACAAGGGAAACCGGTTCACTCGGTTTTGCCATTGGCAGTATACCCGCCGAACGGGTCAACAAGTCAAGCTTCTGAGTCGCAGACAAGCTCCCATTTTACAGGGTCTGGAAATGAAAATATTTCGGTCAAACAAGGTGTGACAGATGGTCAACAGGTGGAAGGAAGTAGTAAGTCAACTGTTGGTCAACCGGATCGGGTTGTGAAAATGGAAACGGATATTGGTGACATGAATGAGCCTCTTTTTGTTGAACCGTTGCAGACACGACACTCGGTTCACCATTTTCAACCCGCACCCGTGATGGGACCCGGACCCGGACCCGTTATGCATACGGGGACCACTGGGAGAATGACTGAACTTTTGCAGGTAATATTTTCACACTCCATTTTCTTAGACTCTCTCCAATCCATTACACCATTTTTTTTTTGTGCCAAATTGTGTAATTATTGGTGTAAACATTGATTTATCTCCAACCCATTACACCATTTTGAACAACAAAAAGAGTATCCTTTTTTTTATTTGATATATTTTCAATGGTACCCTTATATTCATAAAATTGCATTTCCGATACATTTAAATAAATATTATTTAGAGTATAATAGTACAAGTAATAAATATTACATTTAAAAAATCATTATACAATATTAGAAAGTAAACATGCATAACATTCAAATCTGAAGGACCAAATTGTAAATTGGAGGATTTAACACCAAATTTAGCATAAAAAAATAACAGAGTTTTGGTGTTTGGTTGGAGATGCTGTTAGTGTTAAGTATTCCCAAAGTCACTCACTAGTTACCAATTACACTTTACAACACAACACATTGCACAAAAGAAAATCCCGTTTCTTATAATAAAATACCAAAAAATACATTTTAAAATACTTTCACTATTTTACAGATAATTACGTACTTACAGTTTCTTACTCATAATAGCAACATACTTCCATATTATTTACTGATGATAGCAATATCAATAGCAAAATGAAAGTACATTGCCATTATAGGTTTAAAAAAATATAAAGTACATTGCTATTATAGTTTGGTAGCAAAAGTAAAGTAGGTTGCTAATTTTATTAAAAAAAATACATGTAGGCTGTTCAGCAGAATATGGGAGATGACCAGGCTCCTCGAAACGGACATCCAACTGCAAGTTTTATGGTTAACCGAAACAGTAACAGAGATGAAGAAACTAACTGATCATGAAGCCTGTAAGCTGATGTTGATGTTCATTAGTTGTTGTTTCTGTTTGTTATTAGTTATTAAAGCGCACAAAAAAAAAACAACAAACAGCTAGGGTTAGGGTAGAGTCTGCGCACTTTATTTATGTTTAATAGAAAAAAGCTAAGCTACCTTGTTTATTATGTTGTTTCTAAAATAGAAAAATATTGCATTGGCTTCCTAACTTTTTTTAACTTCGGTAAAAAGTAAGTGGATATTCTGTTAGTGTTAACTACTCATGTATGCAATGGAAAATGATTTCATCTTGTTTTGTTGTTTTAAATGCTTTATTAATTTTTGCTTCTTCCAAGTTGTAACTTGTTATAAAGGATGGGACAAACTTTTTAGGGTTAATGACTGTCATTTTATATCAGCTAGTCTGCCTTTTGATAAAAATATTTGGTTTTTGATATTGAAAAGTCTACCATGTTTGCTTTGCTGAATTTTTTTTTTTATTTTTTTTTATTTTTATTAAACTTTCATTAACGATGATGATCAAATAAAAACAAGAGTAAATTGTATGAATGGCCCCTATGGTTTACTATGCCAAATCATCATTTGAGAAACTGAAGCTTTTATGCTTATACATGATCATTCTTTCCATACCCACGATCGGTCACCAAAAAAACATGTAAAAACATTCAAAAGAGCAAACCCTAATATCTACAGTTCAAGCACTACGAACTACAATGGTCACTTGGAGGATATGTGCTACAACATATGAAATTGATGTTATTTGTAGATACAATATGCTTACACCGACCTTGTTAAGTTCTTAATATCTCTGACGTTTACTTCATAAGTTCGATTGTAATCTTTTCCCAAATTCAACAACCAATCATCCTACAATATTTTCCATTCTCTTACACCACAACGAGGAACTCATAAACTTTCCAGAAAAAAAGTATATCAATGGGAAGCAACATTATGTTGATAAATTGGACATCAATGCCTTTTCCTTTCACAATATTGATAACATGATAGATGACTTGGGTATTTGGTGAATGTAGTCTTCTCAAGTATTATTTTCAAAGGCCATTCAACGATTTGGATTCCAGGTTGTTTGTATTGGGTTGTGATCATTTGTGTACATTTGTTGGTGAACATAAGATAATAGAGGTATATAACATAGCAGAGCATGGGAAAACTAATTTGCATCCCCACAGTTGACTCGGACAAAAACCCACCTAGTTGAGCATGACAGTGTTGCACCCATAGTTAACTTGGACAAAGACCCACAATTAGTTGATTATGACAGTGTTACACACATGAACACTAATAAGGATGTTGAATGGGTTAGAGGTGTGTCTACGACAAAGGTAGCTAGTTGAAGTTACACAAGAAGACACTGAAATATTGAACTTTTGTTGTCTGGGTCTTCATCAGACGAAAGAAAAGGTAGTGAAAGAAGGAAATTTATTAGACCTATACAAAATGCACATGAAAATGACAAAGCCATGGTTGGTGAGTACTTGTATCTATATTTTAGATTTTCAATTCAACAAAGGAGTTTAAGGATCAGTGAAATTACACATGATAGAGCCTAGAAGGGGATTGGAATGTGTGTAGTTATTTATGTTTAATAGAAAAAGTTACCTTGATTATGTTGTTTTAAAATAGAAAAGGACTGGCTTCCTAACTTTCTCGAACTTGCAAAAAAGAGTCGATATTTGGTTAAACTAGTCAATCATTGCATACAATGGAAGATGGTTTGATCTTGTTTTGTTGCGTTAAATGCTTTATAAATTCTTGCTTCTTTTGAGTTGTAACTTGTTAGGGAGGAGGGAGTCATTCCCTCCCAACCCACTGAATCTACTATCACATCAATTTTTGTCTCTTTTTTCTTCATCTTTCCCAACCCACAACATATGGAAATCCTATCTTTCTCAACCCACTCAATTAAAAAAATACAAAACAACTAAGATACAAGTCTTAAAACACATGGTACAAGAGAAAATGAGAGAGAGAGAGAGAGAGAGAGGATGAAGTGGGTTAGTGAAACCAATTCAACAACCCGCTGAAGAGGGAGTGGTATCGGCGGTAACTCTATTGCTAATTAAGATTTTACCTTGATTGTTTTGTATATATTTTTTTAATAGAATGGGTTGAGAAAGATAGGGTTACGTGTGGTGTGAGTTAAAAAATGTGAAGAAAAATGAAAAAGAAAAATATGGCAGTGAGTTGAATGGGTTGGGAGGGAATGACTCCCTACTTCCTTACAAGGAAGAGACAAGCTTTTAAAGGTTTTGCATCCATGGGAATAAGGGAGTGTTTGGGAGTGATTTTCAAAATGACTTATTAACTTATTGTTTTTTCAAAAAAACCAATAAGTTAAAAAATTGTTTGGTAAACACCAACTTTTTAGTGTAAAAAATAGCTTTCAAAAAGCCAGAAATTTTTTACTTTTCCAAAAAACCAATAAGTTGATTGAAAAACACTCCCAAACACCCTCTAAGAACTATCATTTTTCTTATTAGCTAGCTTTCCAGTCAATAAGAAATTTAATAAAAAGTTTTGGTTTTTTATATTGAAAAAATCTACTATGTTTGATTTTTTGAATTTATTTATTTTTACTTTCATCAATTACGTTCAGATAAAAACATTTAATTTATTAAAACAATAATACAAGATGACATAACATTATTTTTATTTTTTTATTTTTAATAGAAATCATAGAGGATTGTTCGATATTTATGAAAACCCTTAATCAATTAAACTTGTAAAGGAATTGATGTTTGCTTATGTTCATTTCATTTTTGAGAAACCCAAATCAGTCTGTAATTTCTTTTTGCTAAAAATTAATGTAAAGACAGCAATCTTTAAGTTTCTTTAGTTTAGTTTTTCGGTTACAACTTTTATATTTTAAATTTATTGTATGGTTACGATTTTTTTTTGCACACCCTAGTGCCAATTTTTTTCGACGGGACTAGACTACAAATTGTAATGTTTTAATCATCAGTATGAATCATAGTGCACAAACATACATACAGATACAATGTTCTTTGTTATGTTTTAATCTTAACAAACACCTAAATTGGTGGCCTAGCCACAAGAAACACTTACCATATATTGTCCAAGTTTCAAATGACATGATAGCATTCTCTCCTAATAACCCCACAAAAAAAAAAAGAATCGAATTATCAAACAAAACGAGTTTTAAACTCAAACTCCTATAAAAAAAATCTATATGACCATATTTTTAGCTATAACCAATTTCCAACCCACCCTGTATTTGAATTACAAAAAGAAAGAAAACAGAACGAAGCACCAAAAAAGTAAACACAAAATTTAAAAAATGTCAAAACTTGATGAGAGAGAAGACCTTTTCAAGAAAACTTTGATACTAAAAAAGCATTAGATCCAGGGGGCGGCATTGGGCGGATGATGGGGTAAGGCGGTTGTGAAATGGGAATGTGGTGTCCCGGTAACATAAACGGGGTTTGACCACCACCACCACCGGCGGCGGCTGCTATAAATGGTGGTGTTGCACATAGCTGCAATGCTTGGGCTGCTGCACTTCCTGCAACACAACAAGCTTTTTTTACTTTTATACCCTTTAGGATATTAAACTGTTAAAAGGAATGGAATCTGAGATTCCGTTCCATGGCGTGTTAATGAATTTCGTCAAAATCCTTCAGATTCAATGTTTGATGAATTTAGGGTCAAAGGAATTCAATTGCGTTCAAAATTTTGTTTTATTAAAAGACAAAATAATACCCTTACTATAAATATATTTACATAGTTGAAAAAAAAAATACATATAACCAAAAGTTTAAAAATTATCCAAATTTTTGAAGGAATAAAATTTGTTAAACTAAATTGTATGCTTTGTGGATGCATTTCACCATTCCAAGGGGTATATAGGTGGAAGGAATTCAATTGTATCCTTCATTTTTTTTTTTATTAAAAGACTAGAATACCCAAATATATTAAATAAACAAAAATAAAAATTAATTCCAAGAGATAATTTCTCTTATTGCACTCCATTCCATTTCATGTCAACAGCAGTTATGATTCCTTAAAATTCCAATTCCTTTGGCAGATTCCATCCCTTCCAAAAACATCATGCGAACCAAACGCCCCATCATTTTCTTGGCATGAACCAAACGAAACTCCATTTATATATACATAGTAAGGGTATTTACATCTTTTAACAAACAAGGAAATGAATGAAACTGAATTTCTTCCATACCCCCATGGAATAGTGAATTCCATGAATAACGGAATCTGAATGAATCCGATGGAATTGAATACACAAATCATGGAATGGAAAGTCATTACATACCTTGGTGTTTAGGGACATGTACTTGGTGTGGAGTCAAGATAGAGCATGTATTCACTTGAGAGAAACCCGTCGTGCTCGGGACCATGTCCTTCAAGAAATTAAAAAAAAAATCAAAAAATATTAAAACTTGTCAAATGGGGCCCACCAAAAGATTGAAAGGTCTTACTTGAGAGACTGGATGAACATAGACAACCGGTCCAAATCTTCCAACCATTACCTGTAACAATCAACACGGAATCAGCAAAACCCTAAACCTTAAACCCTAAACTACAGATAGATTTAGATTTACAGTATAATATAAAAATGAATGTGTACATTTTGAGCCCCCGGTTGAACATAGGTTGGTGTAGTTTGAACCGGATGATATTGATTGCTATATCTAACCGGTTGACCTCTATTTGTCATATATCCAACAATCTACAACCAAAAATTAACAACATACAAATTCAATATTTTGGATAAATTTAACAATCCAAAATCTAAATTCCAAATTTTTTATAAAAACTTACAGGTGGAGGATGTTGTTGTACATCGCCACCTCCATTTCCACCATAAGGAAAAAACTTAACCGGTAAAGAACGAGGAGCATACGGGCCGATTTCAACTTCTGGCGGTGGTGCCGCCACTTGTACCGCCGGATAACCGTCCTGAACGTATGCAAGATTTGCTGCGGTGGGTATCACCGGAGGAGTAGCTGATCTTTTATTTGGAAATGAAGGAGAAAATAATTTTGCTCCTGGATTAAGTTTAAATTCCTGAATAAAAAGTTAAGTTTAATCAGTTTTGAAAAACCCTGAATTGATTATGAATCAGTATATGCTTCAAATATATACCTTAGCAGTTTGATTAGAATTTGGGATTTTTGAAGTGATGGTTTCGGTTGGAGTTGATGATGAACTCACAATTGATTCCTTTTGGTTGTTACTTTGATAACTTTTGTTCTTTCTGCCATAACATAAGCAATTCATTCAAAAACTCAGATTGTGCAAAAGACGCAAATACCCTTTTTTGTCATGGTTAAGGCCCCCCATTCATTACACAAGACAAAAATTGCAAATTTTTGTCCCACCCAAAAAGATGGGATAGAGAATTGCTCTCGATATCGCAATTGTAAAAAAGACGTAAATGCCCTTCTCATCCTCACCTATTATCATCTGAATCCTTCAAAGCTTCTTCTTTCTGTAGTTTATGAAGAATATATCAGAGATTGCAAATGAAACCATTACATAATCACTTTCAAAACACAAATCCAAATACCCCTAAAATTCAATTCAAATGTATAATGTATATTCACTCATCAAATTTTCCAAAAATGTCACCTTTGTTGAAACTTTGGCATTTGTATTTTTATTGACTTCAAGAGTATTGGTTGAGTGAGTAGGAAACCCGTTGTCAGTTCCAGACAAGCATCTGCACTAATAAATGTGAGTAACAACATGTTCCATCTGAATAAAGATTCAAAACAATACTACAAAACAGAATTACTTATATATATATCCTTACTTTACTCTTATTTAATCTACATATTTTTTGAAAAAACTAGCAATTCCAAAAACCCAAAACCAACGAAAGGCGATTATTGCAATCTTACAATAGCTTAAGATTTCCATTAAACTATAAACAAAATTTCAAAAAACTTAAAAAGAAAGGCATACTTTGTTTGATTAGCTTGAGGTTGGTCAACGTTTGACTTTGTGGACATTGTTTTATTTCCTTCAGTCAGTTGAGTTCCATTAGAAGGGAAAGAGCATGCAACTGCCCCTGTATCATCCCCTGTCTCATGTCCAACAAAACCATCTGCTGGAAGCACTACTCTCTGAAAAAATAAATAAATACATAAATAATTTAGTATATGAGATCAGAGTTTTGATGGGATCTGTTGCCCTCATGGCTTTAAAAGGCGTCCTTGTAGGAGAGGTATCCAACACCCTTATAAGGAATGCTTTCGTTTCCCCCCTCCAGACAATGTGAGACAGGTTTTATACTATTATACTTACTTGTAATAAAATTTATAAACCATAAAAGATGTAAAAAATGATAAATTTGTTACCTTAGCAACCACTTGGACAAGATCCTCTGATTGAATTATAAGTGTTCCTATCACCCCCTCATTTGCCACATTTGAATCACAACTCCCCTTCTTGATCATCCTTGCTTGCTTCAACACAATAGCTACACCAATACAAAATGCAATCTTACATCAAAAAATAGATAAAATACTTTGCTATATAACAGTAATCAGTTTCTAGTGTTTGGATATAACCTATTTTTGCTCATGATAATCCTATTAGTTAGGGATCAAACTTTGAACAATCAGTTTTTGATACTAGCTGCAACTAAGGTTATTTTCTAACTATATATATATATATATATATATATATATATATATATATATATATATATATATATATCTTCTTATATCAGTGTTTTCTTTAAGATCCTTAGATAATTACAAGTTCAAATGGTAGAAACACATTTAATCACTATTTAATAAACAATGTTTTATCACACCTAATCATTTGCTTTTGATTGTACAATATCACATAATCCCTTCAAGAAATTTAGAGACTTCAGTTGAGGAGACACTGATTTACCTAAATGGTAGGATTGATTACTATTAGTTTCTAAATTGGATAAGTCTATTTGCAAGTTTTAGCAGATGCTAATGGTGGAAAAACAAACTTTTCTATTGTCAATTGCATTTGAAGATCAAGTATTGACTGCAAAAACTTATTCCAATGGAAATTATCAAGAAGCATAATAGATTCAGATTCATAACCAAGACAAATTAGCATGCAATTTTATAAAACCACCAAAAAGTAATCAAAAGATACCATAATTATAGAACTTTTCACCATTGAAATGGCATTTCAAAATCAAATATCGACAAAAAACTACTATTAACAATAACTGCGAAGAACGAATCAAAAAATTTAGATCATAAATCAATAGAATCAAAACATAAAAACCTACATACCATAACGGTCGTCAACACAGGCAGTGTGAAAGATTCCAGAATAGATGGACCCATCCTTGATGTGAACGTCAACAGAGAGACCAATGATACACATGGTTGTTAAAAGCAACGCATCGTTTACAAGTGGCGATGATGATGGTGATCTTCTTTCATCTTCTTCATTCCTCCAACCCATTTTGAAATGGCGACGTGACGTTGTTGTTGTTGATTGTATTGATTTTGATTTGATTTGATGGTGGTGTACGTAGTATAAAGTGAATCAATCGTTGTGAGTTGACGAATCAGAAGCGAGAGAGATCTAGTGGTAGATGTAGTTCTTGAAATATAATGACACCATGGATGGATTGGAAGTGTGAGATGTTAAATCGAATTCTTTCGATTTTACGGAAGCATTTTATACTGGGGCCGGAATCAGGCGGCTCTGTCATCATATTGGAAGTCGGGGATTTGGATCGATTTAAACTTTAATATGGGATTTGGGAAAATGACTTGTCAAGTAATTAACTTTTGGTATGATGACATTGGTAATTATTTTTTTTTTTTTTTTTTATACATCTGGGTAACAAACTTGTTGGAAGTGTTCACATATAACCATTATGATCTACTGTAGCAGATTAGATCCTATATGTGAACACTTTTGACAAGTTCGTTACCTAGATGTGTACAAAAAAAATAATTAACCAAATATGAACAAAACAAAAAGTAAGAGTAAATTACTCGAATGGTCCCTGTGGTTTGGAGGAATTTGTGTTTTTGGTCCCTAACTTATTTTTTTAACTCGGATGGTCCCTACTATTTATTTTTGTTGCGCGTTTGGTCCCTGTCTTACCTAAAAAGACTATTGTGCCCTTATTAATTTATTTTTTAATTAATTTTCTTATTTATGTATTTATTTTTTTATATATTTAAAAAAATTAATAGACCCCACATATCTATATCTCCTCGGATTGTCCCTACTGTTTATTTTTTAATTAATTTATTTTTTTAACTCGGATGATCCCTACTGTTTATTTTTGTTATGCGTTTGGTCTTTGTCTTACCTAAAAAGACTATTTTGCCCTTATTAATTAATTTTCTTATTTATGTATTTATTCTTTATATATTTAAAAAAATTAATAGACTATATATATATTTGTATCTCCTCACCATCACATCTCTCATCCTCCTCAACTTCTATTTATTTTCCATCTTTAGTGATATCGACGTCTTCACGATCCCTTCTTGTAACGACCAAATTTTTACAAAGAAAATTTTCATTTTTGAATAATTAAACACATTTCTAATATCAAGAAATCCAGTTATAATTGTTTTCAAAACATAATTCAAATACAACTTTTATTCCAAACATCAGAGTGTCCCACAAAAGTACGAGAGAGTGTAAGTCGCGCCATCAAGCTTTGCTCTTGCCCTTGGGCTCTGATGTACCTGAAACAAATCCACAAACTGTAAGCTAATGCTTAGTGAGTCCCCCAGAGCATACCCACACACAAACCACATACACATATCAAATTAGCTTATAAAGCTACACATATCTCATAAGCCATGCATACAACATATAAAGAAGCCATGGAAACCCTCCAGGGTCTTACACCTAATGCCACGGGAACCCCCGACGGTTTATCTGCCATGGGAACCCCCACATAGTCTTCCTGCCTTGGGAACCCCCACAAGGTCTTCACTACCAAACAAGACATAATGCAAACTATACAAGCAGATATACTAGGATGCCATGGAAACCCTCCAAGGTCTTATACTACAAGCCACGGGACAAGGTCTTATACCACAAGCCACGGGAACCCCCACGTTAAATTTCTCAAATGTGGTTTCAGGTTTATGGTGAGGAGATACAGATGTGTGGGGTCTATTAATTTTTTTAAATATATAAAAAATAAATACATAAATAAGAAAATTATTTAAAAAATAAATTAATAAGGGCACAATAGTCTTTTTAGGTAAGACAGGGACCAAACGTGCAAAAAAATACAGTAGGGAACCATCCGAGTTAAAAAAATCAGTTAGGGACCAAAAACACAAATTCCCCCAAACCACAGGGACCATTCGTGTAATTTACTCTTACTTTTCGTTTTGTTTATATTTGGGTAACTACTTTTTTTGTACACATCTAGGTAACGAACTTGTTGAAAATGTTCATATCTAGGATGTAACCTGCTACAGCAGGTCATAATGGTCATATGTGAACACTTCCAACAAGTTTGTTACCTAGATGTATACAAAAAAAAAAAATAGTTACCCAGATGTGAACATACTGAAAAGTTAATTACCTTGATAAGTCATTTTCCCTATGGGATTTAGGGTATAATCTATTCAAATAGAAAATGGTGAAGTTCGGCTTAAATTGCATGTGAAAAATAATACTCCTATATTTTAAAATCCATATACAATGTTTGTACTATAGATTAATTTATAATAATCAATAAAACAAGTATGTAAAATACGATTTTAGTTTTGATAGAACAATATTTAAGGATCTATATCCTCTATTATAATAAAACAATAGAATTATGCCACGTGGCAGTTGCTAAGCCCCTCCCAAGCTACTTTTCCCGCTCAAAGTTTCCAAGTGAAGTTCCGATAATGCCCTTTGTGCCTCTTAGTACCCCATCCGCCTTCATTCTCGCTCTTCATTGGAAACAATTAAGAGTTTCCAACTTCTGTGCAATAAATCAGCACCGAAATCACGGAGATTGTTGAAGAATCATTTCTACTCCTTGCATGATTTCTCATATAAAATCCCAAGAAACCAAGAAATTACAGAATATCAGAAACTGACTCCTTCTAAAATCACAACAACTCATCAAACTAATCTAATACAAAATTGAAGGTGTAGGTTTTTTTTTTCACAGATCCTTTCTACATCGCTCCACCGCCTTCTACCACCTTCGTCATCTCCAATTGTTGTATTGATATAGGTTTCTCTCTATGTGTTTAAATGTCAGTTTATTACAAGTGGAGATTCGTATTACACTTATAATTCAGTTGTTTACTCAAAATTTTGTGTTCTCTTGCCTTGCTTCAACCACATGGAAATGAAGATCAGGTTTCATTTTGTAGTTTATGCAATTTTTTGAACATTCTCCAAACTTTTCTCCATTTTCCTTTTGTCTGTGGGTCTTGATGCACCGAAAGAAATGCATACAAATGTTTTTTCCATTAGACCTATCTTGCACACCATAAGAAGCCTCTACGATTGTTCTCAAAATGGTTTAAATATTAGGAGGAAACGGTTCGAGAAGATTCATTGGCTTTCAATCGAAACCAAGTGTTCGATGATGAAATTACTCAATGAGGTAACAAATGTTTCGTTCACATTTGATCCATTTATCTTTTCAGTCATAAATCTTGCTTTTTACATCTGTGGATTGTAAATGTATGTTTTTAGCTTAATAAAGTGTATGGTTTTTGGCTTTACGCATCGAGTTCATGTTCAAGGATAGTTTGTATAAGACATTACCAGTGAACTACGAAAAGAACTTTTAAAAATTGAACCTTTTTGTATCTCCTATCTAACAAAAGAGTCATTTTTTGACATGTGGCATCTCCTCAACATATATTTTTTTTAAAAGTAAACTACCAAATATGCCCTTGAGACATTTGGTCAAGATTTAACGGATTCCAGGTTTTAAGGAATTTACAGATTTCAACTTTGAATCTTCAAAGCTTATCAAAATTCAACACTTATCAACGATTTTTAATCATGATTTCTGTATCTCGGCTCCTATCTCTCGGTTCTTGATCGCCTTAGATGGTTTGAATTAAGGTGGTTATTATGGAATTCAATTTTGAAATGTTGAATACCCTTATCTTTCCCTGCCGTGATTTCCTTCGATCCGTGACTTAATGGTAGTGAGGCTATTGTTACCCGCTCTGGTCTCCAGTCCCACAATCTCTGCTCACCTCTTCATCTATCTATTAAAAGTAGATCGTGTTTGTCTTCTTGGGTTTGAAATTTTTATGTGAAGATGTATTATTTGTGTAGATACTCTGGACAACATCGTAATGTAGAAGTGGTTAACGGGTTTGACATATTCTCCTGTCTCTTCGGATCTTCTTCTGCAATATTGATTCTCAACAACCGTTTTCTACACATGTAGATTAGTAATATTGTAGTTGGCTTTGATTTTATTATTTTCTAAGATCAATGCGGATAAATCTTCTCTTTTTTTTTGTTTATCTTTTCAGGATTTTATGTTTTAGTTGTGGGTGAAGAAGTGAAGTTCAAAATAATATTGATGCCCGTTACGTGGAGAAATTGATGTTCAAGGTAAGTTCTCTCTAAATCTAAATATTAATTCCTATTACGTGTTCGATGATATATCTCTTACAGTTGCACCATGTTTTTCTTTTACTTTGTTCTTTGCTATCTTGATCATTGTTGTTCATTTATTGAATTATTTTGTTAGTATTGTATAGGAGGTCCCATAAAATGACAGACACAGAGTCTTTAGAGGAGAAAAAGACATGAGTGAAGTGTTTAGGAAGGAAGAAGACCAATGAAAAAGAGCATTTTGTTTGGAAGGGTGATATTATGGTGCCTTGTGGTAGTTTGGTTGAATATGAGCATAAAGAAAGTCCTCGTGGATTCAAGGAGTAGGTTGTTTATGATCCTAAACAGGTAACTATTGTTAGTTTTAAGAGTATATATACTTTTTAAATCAAGGGTAAAATGGTTATTTGTTCATTTGTTCTTTTTGGGTTTGCTGGTTATTATAAGGGTTTTGGTTGGCTTGAAGTTTGAAGAACAAAATGTTTTGTATGAAGAAGTTGATCCAGCTAATGCTGATGCTCACATTCCTTGACGTGGATAAAGGTTATTTTGTCTTTTCTAGAAGGATAAGAATTTATAGTCTAGGGGATAAGGGTAGTATGGTCTATTTCGATGTAAAAATAATTGATGTCATGTGTAATATGTTTTGGGAATCATATAAGCCTTTGTAGACCAACTAATAATCGTTGGCTAAACTATGGCCCTATGTACCTATTCTTGATTTTTTTGAATCAATTGCTAGTTAAAAAGAAACCCTCCAATTGTTATTTCTAATTTGTTTTAGCTGCAGAATATATGGATTTATAAGATACATCAAGAGCAGTCAATGGATGAGGTTTCTTTGCTAATTAATGTTCTTCATCTCTTCTACCATAAGTTAAAGAGAAATTTATAATCCTAATTATCAGGTTCTTCCGAATAAACCTCATTCATATTGTTACTAATAAAAATGATTATTTTGTTGAACTAAGATACCATTCACGAAATGCTCCTGAAATGCTCCTGCATGATTTGATTACTTTTTTACATTGTGGTAATATTTATATACTTTTTTGCCATTTCTAATAAAGCACTTAAATAACAATTGTCAAAAATAAAACGGGTGAATCCAAATTTTATTTTAAAGTTTACAACTATTTAAATAC